ATGCAGCACATTTGCTAAATGTTTTAGAGTTCATCTGTGACTAAATGACTATTTAAGTGATGTTCATAAAAAGGGAAGCTGTAGAAATATTATGAGTACTCAACCTTTTCAACATCCATAAAAGTTTACTCAAATTAATTACATGTTTTCTTTATTAATTAGCAAAAGAGATGACCACTTTTACTCAATATATAAGCATTTTCTTTCTAGGAGAGTTTACTCCAGAAATGCAGTTGCGGATAAGACAAGAAATTGAGAAGGAAAAGAAAACAGAACCTTGGAAAGAAAAATTCTTTGAAAGGTTTTATGGAGAAAAGTAAGTGCTAGAGCATTTTTTTCTCATTTCTCTTACAAGGAAATGAAAATGTAATTCTCTGCTTCACATAGCACACTCATATGCTGTAAAACTTAATAAACCTGTGATAAAAGGCAATAGTCCCTCAGTGTAAGAAATTGCTGGTAAAATTATAGTGGCATATCAGCACTTAAATTAAAAAAAATGCATTTTCAAGAGTTTATAACTTGTCTATGAAAATTCATTTTGGACTGAAAATAGCTCATGAAATACTATAGAAGTCAATTTTGGCTTTCTTAAGTGGATTTTAGTAAAAAATTTTCCTTTTTTTATCCAAATATTTTTATCACTGAATACTTTAGCCATAAGTAGTTTTAGACACATTTTAATTCTCGCATTTTCCCAAAAATGTTGACTGTGAATATATATTTTAGTCCTTGTTTTGGAGAGAACATGAGGTGTTACCTTTTACTCTATCCATTTTCCTCTTTGGGTATAACCAATTTTTAATTTATTGTTTTTTTGTGTGTGTATGTTTCTTTTAAAAATAATACCATCCACACATAAGTGTGGTAGTGATGGAACTAAGCTCAAAGTATTTCTCCTTTGCTTCATGGTTATTTGGCAAAGACATATTCTACTTGGGCAGAATTAGAATCTCAGAAACAATCATCCATCCCCAAGAAAGGAGGAGGGATTAAGAAGCTGACAATTGACAGTAACTTTGGATCCTTCTTAGTAGAAGAATTCGAGCTTTAACTCCCGTGTATACAATTAATGCTTGAAAGTTGTTGTTTTGTTCAGAGGACACTGAACCTGTACCATTTGATCTAATCTCACAAAATTTTTTCTGTAAATGGGGGGAAAAACATCAGAAGGAATCTCTCATGAGTGCTCTTCGTGAAAAGGGATCATGAGGCTAATGCCTGCTTATTCAGAGTAGGCTAGCCTTTGGTGAATTGTCCTAAAGCAGTACTCTTGAGTAGGAAGGCTTGTTTTCAGTGGCTGTCCTAGGACCTCAGAGGCATAAACTTACTTAAGCAAAACGAAAAGGAGAAATTAATGTCTTTTTCTCAGGAATTTAAAATGTGGCAAGTCATATGCCTTCATGTATAGTCACCAACAGTATTACTCAAGCCTGACTACATCAGAATCCTCATTGGAGCTTTTAAAAATAATTACAGATTTCTAAGAACCCCAAATGTACTGATCGAGAATCTCCAGGAGTAGAGCCCAGGAGTCTGTATTTTTAGATGCTTCCCAGGGCTCTTCCCAGCAGGGTTAAGAGCCCTGGAAGATAACACCAAAGACCACTCAGGAGGCCTCCCTGCCTCTGTGCGACTAAAGGAATGTTAGAAGCACTCTTTTCAGTAAAGGCAGAAGTACAACTGACTGAAGTAGTTACCTCCAAAGCACTGGGCCTTAATTATTATTGAGTATTGGACCCATTCTCGTATTAACTCACAATAATTATCCAACATCTCCTCTGGGCCAGATGCTGTCCTAGATGTCAGAGGCGTGGTCATCTGTAGGCCTGCGTAAACTCTGCCCTCAGAGAGCCTGCATTCTAGAGACCATGCATTACAGAAGGCTTTCCTTCAGTCAGCAATCATTGGGCATACTCTGGATATGATAATGTTTCTAAGAGCTTTGCAAATATTATTTCACTTAATTCTTCCAACAGTCCTATAAAGTGGATACCTTTATTATTCTTATATTTTAAAATCGTTTACAAAACTGAGGGACAGTGAAACTTAAGTCATTTTCCCAGGTTTACACAGTGTGGCTAAGTAATTTGTTCAGTGTCTTACTCCTGCAAATTCTTCTCAGAAAAATTCACATACACACATACAATTTTTTACATGAACTTTGGGGGCTTCACAGACTCCCATGGATATCAGGTTACGGGAGCCTGCTCTGGAAGATGACAGCAACAGTATGTAAGTAAATATGACTCCCCATCACCATCACTGAGCTCCGAATACAAACAGTTCTTTCACTTGACCTTTTTCTTGCTGTAGTTCATCCACAGATTTTCTGTCCTCTTACATCACTGAACTTCTCACTTGGCTTTTTCTGTCTTTGAATTCATATTGGATGATAGATGTATTTTTGACATTTCATTTACTGCTCTTCTAATTTTGTTACTTTTAGATTACCTACATTCTCCCAATATGTAAGGGGTTTTTTCCCCTAGGATCAGGTAATTTTCAGTTGACCAACTCCTGTGCCTTTTCATTGCTTTATTTTCCCAAGAATGTTGCCATCCAAACTTGCATCTAGTTAAAATCTGTTTTATTTCGATTTTGCTCTTTATAGAAGGTCTTTATTTTGGTTCTTAATGGCTTTTTCTGCCTGTAAAGTAGTACTGTTGCGTATTCATTTTAGTTACTTAGAAATCATTCATACATATACTAAGGAAAAGTTGTAAGAGGTGGTCTGTTGATTTGCAGTATAGATATTTGGAGGGCAGAGTTTTCCTTGTGTGGTTATGTGATGTGCTATAAGCATCTTCCTTCTCTGGTTTATGTCATCCTAAATCTATTTTCCCATCAAAATAATAAACTGACGACATAGACATATCTGATACAGTGCTGTTTTCCATGTGATTATATATGTTTTGTACATATAGGTTTAATATTAAATATATTTAATAATATTCTTATTAACAAATCGGAAACTTGGCTGTCAGTGGATAGATTCTGTATGTTCTATACTTAATCTAGTATCTATCAGTGGTATCTCTGCCTGACCTAGCTCCAAGGGACCTTTTTTCTAACTGATACTTCTGCTTTAAATTTATCCGTAATGCAGCTATTCTGTTCCTCTCAGTAAAGTACAGTTTTAGTTTGAACCCATCTTAGGGAAAGTTGAAAGAAAAGAGAATAATTATGACAACAATATCATCTATTTTCTTTTCAGAACCTTCTGAATTTTAGTAAAGAAAGTAATGATCAAATACCCAAACAATGTATGCAATTTTATTTCCCTTTTATTTTAAGGATGTAATTTAAGTAAAAGGTTGAAGATTTCACTGAGGTATTTTCCTGCATTGCTACTATTACAGCTGTATTTCAATGAGGTTTTTTCCTCTGGAAATGTTCTCTCTTCTGCTTATATTTATAATTGCCTGTAGTACTCTAACTTCATTTAGAATAGCATATTCCTCTACCATCTGCTGCTGATATTATAACCTAGTATGATAGGAAATAGTGATTTGCAAATATCTTTGCTTGTAATTCTGATTAACTTTGTCTTATGACCTGAACATTAGGCTGGATTATTTCTTAATCTTCTTTACATTTTTATGGACTATTTTTAAAATAGGAGATCTACATGGAAGAATGTCTTGCTTTACACAAATGTAATCTAATAGAATCAACTTTGATGACCTCAATATGTTTGTTATTCTTCAGTGAAATTTCCATATTGTGTTAGGTTAGATACTTGGATACTAAAATAAGGTGATTGACTAACTAACACCTCTTACATTGATTTAAGAAAACTTAATCTTTGGAAGTCATTTCAGTTTCAAGATTTTACATCATACTCCTCTTGCATTGAACTTAATGATTTGGTTATGTTGCATCCTTTGAAGTTTATGTAATTTTTTATTATAAGATGACATTTCTACTTTATGCCTTTAAAAAAATTTCAATCTAATACATTGTTTTGCTTTTCTGTACATATTTCCTAGTCTTTTGTAGTATGTAATTTTCTAATTTCTTTTACTAACACTTGGTAAGGTTCCCATCTCCTTGCTTATAGAATAAAAATCTGTAACTTTCTTAACCAGAAATAGAGTTTATTTCAGTTATGATTATAAGGTCTTAGAAAAACCAAATCATTATAAACTTGTTTACCTAAATTAAGCATGTTACTTAGTGATTATAAAGTTAAATTGACATATTTACTTTTATCGAATACTATATTCGGGAGAGATCCAAGTTGTACTTTTCATGTTTTGTGGTTGAACAATAGTGTTTCTAATTTCTGTTCAGGTTGGGCATGTCAAGAGAGGAATCCACGAAGCTCACTTCTGGACCAAACAATGATGGAGCTGAAAGTAGTTCTTCATGTGGGACCTCTAGTCTTCCAGATCTTTCCTCACAGACTCCCTTGGAAGGACAACAGCCAAAAAGCATGAAAAGTCCGTCTTCTCCAGAGCCTGATTTCTGTGCTACACTCTGTCCTATGGTAGACGTAGGTAAAGATGTAATGGCAGAATTGGAATCAGATGATATCTTGATCCCTGAAGAATCTGTGATTCAGGAGGAAATTGCAGAAGAGGTAGAGACTAGTATCTGTGAATGCCAAGATGAAAATCATAAGACAATACCTGAATTTTCTGAGGAGTCTGAAAGTCTGACCACCTCTCATGAAGAGCCCCAAATAGCACTTCCTGAAGATAACGTGGAATCCTGTGTTATGATGAATGATGTTTTAGAAACTTTGCATCATATTGAAGTCAAGGTGGAAGAGAAATCAGAATCTTCCCAGGAAGAAATGTCGGTTGTTATTGATCAACTAGCAGTCTGTGACTCTCTCGTTCCTTCCACTTCATCTGTGACTCATGTCAGTGACACAGAACATAAGGAGCCAGAAACTGCAATAGAGACCAATACTCCAAAAATAAAATCAGGATCATCTTTAGAAGGCCAATTTCCAAGTGAAGGAATTGCTGTAGATATGGAGCTACAGAGTGAGCCTGATGAACAACTTTCTGAAAATGTCTGCATCTCTGACACTTCCTTCTCTTCTGAGAGCCCAGAGGAAGTGTGTACCAGCCTGACATCCCCAGGAGGGGAAACACAATCCACTTCAGAAGAATCGTGTACTCCAGCCTCGCTTGAGACAACGTTTTGTTCTGAGGTGTCCAGCACTGAAAATGCAGACAAATATAATCAGAGAAATCCCACTGAAGAAACCCTTCATGCATCTTTGATGTCAGAAATATCTCCAGTATCCACTTCACCTGAACTGTCAGAAGCATCTCTAATGTCCAATTTACCTTTAACCTCTGAAGCATCTCCAGTATCAAATTTGCCTTTAACATCAGAAGCATCACCCATGTCTGATTTACCTTTGACATCAGAAACTTCTTCAGTGTCTTCCATGCTTCTCACGTCTGAGACCACTTTTATGTCCAGTAGGCCACTTCCTTCAGAAACATCTCCAATTTCTAATTCTTCAATGAATGAAAAAATGGGGCATCAACAAAGAAAGTCACCTTCCATATCCGAAGAACCACTCTCCCCACAGAAAGATGAAGGCTCTGTTCCTGCCAAGCTTCTGGCAGAAAGCCTTCTCTCTCAGCAGAAGACTCTATCAAATACTCCCGAACCCAAGAAAATGGGTTCTTCTTCCATGGCTCCCGAAGCATTTTCACCTGAAGAATTACACAATAAAACCCTGAATCAGCAGCCTTGTAAATTACATGTTGAAACTGAGAAGCCCTATTCTGCTTCAATTCCAGAACTTTCTTCTACAGAAATCATAAAAGTAAAAAATCACAATGTCCTGCAAAGAACAGAAAAGAAAGGGGTGTCTTCACCACTGGAATTATCTGTCTTTTCTGAAGAGACAGAGAGTAAAGGAAATGAGCTTCCATCAGCTAAATTACAGGACAAACAATATGTGTCACCAGTGGAGAAGGCTTCATTTCCAGAAGGCTCTAGAAATAAAACACATAAGCAAGGGAGTGCACAGAACCGCTTGGAGACCTTGCATACTTCCAAGTTGCCAGAGCCCTCCAAGTCACCCGACGGGTTAAGAAATGAAAGTAGAGAATCCGAGATAGCAAAGAGGAAGACGGCAGAGCAGCACAGCTTTGGAATCTGCAAGGAAAAGAGGGCGAGGATAGAAGATGATCAGTCGACCCGAAACGTGTTATCTAGTAGCCCACCCGAGAAAGAGCAGCCTCCAAGAGAGGAACCCAGAGTTCCACCTCTCAAGGTATGCTATTTAAACAAGAATAGAAGAGAAAGACAATTCCATGATAGATTTTTTTTTTAATTTAGATATTTAATTTTTCAAAAATTTTCTTCTAGGTTTTATGTGGCAGTTAATAATCTAATATTCCCAGCATCAGTCTAATAGTAAATGATTTTTTCTTAAGACTGTGCATTGAGCTCATATGATACACACACACACACACACACACACACGTGTGTATGTGTGTGTGTGTGTGTGTGTGTATGTGTCTGTGTGTATTTAGACCTCAGCATTTAAAGAAAAATGAAATGTAGAACTGGGCTTGGTGGAGCCCACAGATCACAGTGGTAAGGGTCTTTTGGGGATTCCAAGGTATAGGGCAGAGACCTACATAAACTTGGGAAAATTTGAAGATAATTTAATGTCTTATAAAAGTTCAGAAGACCTAGAGAAAGAAGTAGTGAGAAGTTAGAGGCATGCACTAAAGAGATGAAGGTACATATTATCCCTTCATTTATTTTCCAACAAACATCGAATACCACCATTGCTTAGCAGAAGAGGGACCTGGCTTATGGAAGAGACTCATTAAGTATTTCTTAAATAAATCAGTGAAATTGCTTTGTGAACCCTGAAGGAAAATGCTATAGATATATAGGTATACGAATCCTATTTTTTTTTTACCTCCAAGATAGTAAAGAGGTATTTAACTTAACAACAACAAAAAAAATAAGGTCTGTAGACAGACATTCCTATTTATATGTTTTCGTTTGATCCCAGTAGATTTTTAACATTCAGAAAATAAATCTTTTATATAAATTGGCCTGCCTAATAAACTGAAAATTGAGGTTAATTTAAAAGAAACTCTGTTGAATTAAAAAAAAAAATCTACCCACTACCATTTAAATTTATTTGGTCCATTTACCTCAGTTCGTTTATATTGTTCTACAATAAAATGGATTATGCCATCATAGGATTGGTCTAGAATTATAAACATACTCAAGCTTTGTTTTTCTTAATCTCTCTTTATTTTACTCTGAGTTACATATTTGTATGTAACTCATGATCTCCATAAAGTTGAATTTTAAGAGTGCGGTTGTAGTTATTCTGTTTAATAAAGCAGTCCCCATTAAATAAGATTCTAGAGATGTAAAAGAGGAACATAAAACCCTGCTATGTGTTTTAATTTCTAAAGCAATAGAAAAAATACAAGTATACTTTTTGTATAAAATATTCTTAAACATACCAGTCTAGTTTTTTTTTCAAAAGCTTATTTTCAAAGTGATATATACTTTATATAAAGGTATATGATAGAGAGAGAATTATAAGTATATATGACATTTGTCCTTGAGCTCTTAAGTATATGTAGGCTTAATTTTTTAGATGTTTTAAATTTTTTTATCTAAGGTAAATATTGGAGCCTTTGAATTAGAAAAGAGACCTCACAGGTTTGATAATGAGAATGAGATAACCTCAGGAAAATAATTTTATCTATCAAAGTTTCAAAGTATAATTCCAAATCGATATGATCCTGTAATATGTGTCGTGTTTATAATGTAAACATACATATGTTAAGAAGAGAAATTAAATGTTTTCTAGGAAAATGTTTATCTGGAAGTCAGATGGGAAGGAAGCATAGTACATGTCAGCAGCTCTGAATGGGGAGCCCAGAGACTCTCTCTGTCACTCACCGTTATATTGCACCAGGACAATTTACCTCTAGTTTTTTCCAACTGTAAAACAAGAGACTTTACTGGGTCCCTTCCAGTTCTACAAATCTATGGCTCTAAGAATGTTCTTAGTGATTAGAACATCACAGGCATTACTATGGGATGTTGGTTGTTAGGGCGTGCGCCTCATGCATTTGGTGGTGACTGCAAGTCTCTTGATTAACATGAGTAGGTGAACAATGTGGATTGGGACATTTACAAAATTCAGCAAATTGTGGATTATCAATATCAAAGGAAACTGCCCAACCCATACTTCCTTTTAGAGGCAAAACAGCAGAGTTGCCCTTGCTTTCATGAAAACATAATGATAATAAAATCCCTTTAGAAAGCAGAGCACTCTTACAAATATAGTCTTATTCCATCTTTATAACAATCCTGTGAGGAAAATAAAACAGAAATAACTAGTTTCATTTTACATCTGAGTTTACAAACTCTTTTTATGTGCTTATTATATGTGTATAAGGTAGCATGCTAGACAATATGAGAATACATAAAAACCATAGATTGGTGCAGGGAAGTTATTGGAGACACTGACGGACTCAGCGATTTGCCCAGCATCTTAGTTCCTTTGAGTAAAGCCAGGATGATTATGCTAGTCTCCTGACCTCTCAGCTAGAGCTTTCTTGGGTCAAATTAAGATAGAAACTCAAATAGAGTTAAGGTCTCACATTTTCATGCCAGCAAGGAAGATAATCAAAGGACTAAACATCTCTCTCTCTTTTTTTTGGTTTTTTTTGGTTTTTTTTTGTTTTTTGTTTTTTGGTTTTTTTTAGCTAACCACATTTTAGGAAGCATGGAGTTTGTTTCTATTTATATGAGGCATTAAGATGTTTCATTTCTGTGTCACATGAAGTCACCTGTTGATATTTTTGTAGAGTAAAAACAGAAATTAAAAATTTTAATTTTCACATTCATGCTGCATTTCATATTGCTTTGTAAAGGTCCATGCTGCATTTCATATTGCTAAAGGTCCATTCAGGGATTTCAGTGTAGTTCATGTCACATTATAAAAAAATATACTACTCTTCTCCTCTGCATTGTCACATGCCACCTGTCTCCTCTGTGATCATGGACTAAGCGCTTTATCTTTCTATTCTCTCCTTCCTGTAGATCCAGCTTTCCAAAATTGGGCCACCTTTTATTATCAAGAGCCAACCAGTCTCCAAACCAGAGTCTCGAGCATCCCCTAGCACAGCTATCAGTGGTGGAAGGAACACAGGAGCCAGAACCCTTGCAGATATCAAGGCCCGAGCCCAGCAAGCAAGGGCCCAGCGAGAGGCAGCAGCAGCAGCTGCTGTAGCAGCAGCAGCAAGCATTGTCTCTGGAGCCATGGGGAGCCCAGGAGAGGGTGGAAAGGCGAGAACCTTGGCACATATCAAAGAACAGACAAAGGCAAAGCTCTTTGCAAAGCATCAAGCCCGAGCCCACCTCTTCCAAAACACTAAAGAGTCCCGGTTGCCTCCGCTTGGCTCAAAGGAAGGCCCTCCAAGCTTAGAAGTTCTTTCTACCCCTGAAACAAAAATCGAAGGTTCAACTGGTGTCATTATTGTCAATCCAAACTGCAGATCTCCTAGCAACAAGTCTGCGCTCCTCCGGGAGGCCACCACTGTATTACAGCAGTCTCTTAACCCGACTAAACTTCCAGAAACTGCCACGGACTTATCTGTGCAGAGTTCTGACGAAAATATACCTGTGTCACATTTACCTGAGAAAATTGTTTCATCTACCTCTTCTGAAAATAGCAGTGTGCCCATGCTTTTTAATAAAAATTCTGTCCCTGTGTCTGTTTGCAGCACTGCTATGTCGGGAGCAATTAAAGAACATCCCTTTGTGAGCTCTGTTGATAAATCCTCTGTTCTCATGTCTGTCGATAGTACAAACACTACAATTTCTGCTTGTAATATAAGCATGTTAAAAACCATCCAGGGAACTGACACTCCCTACATAGCCATTATACCAAAATGTATTGAAAACACTCCCCTTCCTGCCACCACCGAGGGCGCCAGCATATCAAGCTCCGTGGATGACAAGCAGTTGCTCACATCAGGCAGCAGTGCTGGTAACTTAGTCTCCAGTCAGTACACCTCCGTGCCAACTCCCTCCTCTGGAAATAACTTGCCAAACCATCTCTCCACTAGCTCTGTCTTGATTCCCCCAACGGGAATTAACAGCAGATTTTCTCCTGAGAAGATAGCCATGCCTGGGAGTGAAGAACAGGCCTCCATGTCCATGGGCACCACTGTGAGAGCAGCCCTCAGCTGCAGGGATTCCGTAGCTGTCACAGACACTCTGGTCGCACGCCCACCCGTCGCAATGTTTACCGGAAGCATGCTAACAATAAACTCTTACGATAGTCCTCCCAAGTTAAGCGCTGAAAGCTTGGACAAAAATTCAGGGCCTCGAAATAGGGCAGACAATTCTGGGAAACCTCAGCAACCTCCAGGGGGCTTTGCACCAGCAGCCATAAACAGATCGATTCCATGTAAAGTCATCGTCGATCACAGCGCCACACTGACCTCCACTTTGTCTGTGACTGTCTCCATTGAAAGCACGGAAGCCAGCTTGGACATCCAGAGCAGGTCGGTGAGGACAGAAGCCGCCATACAACCCATGGCATGTCCTCAGGTATCTGTTATTAGCAGGCCTGAGTTGGTTGCAAACGAAAGCATAGATCACAGTTCTAGTTTCATTGCAGCTTCTGTAGCAAAAAAAGACTGCAAAACGATGCAGGCTTCCTGCACAAGTCTCCGAGAAGCACCCCTCGTTGTTTCGGATAAATTAAATGAGGTGACTGCTCCTAGTAATAGCTTTGCTGAGCAGACACGTGGCCCGACCGCTTTCAAAAGTGAAGCAGACACAGCCTGTAGCAATCAGTATCATCCAGGCAACCGGATTTGCTGGAATGATGATGGCATGAGGAGCACAGGACAGCCTCTAGTCAGTCATTCGGGTTCAAGTAAACAGAAAGAATATCTAGAGCAGAGCTGTCCAAAGGCTATCAAAACTGAGCATGCCAGCTACTCGCACGTGTCAGAACTTCACCCCAGGAATCTCATAACAAATGTCACTCTCCCCGTGAAGTCTGAACCTCATGAAGTGGACAAGGGCTTTAGGATGGATACTGAGGACTTCCCCGGCCCTGAGCTGCCTCCCCCGGTTGCAGAGGCAGCCCCCAGTGTGCAACAGACACAGAACGTGAAGGCTCCTGCCTCTGGCCCTGTGGAAGAGGCTATTTCCTTGGCTACAGACACCCTGAAAAGAGTTCCCAGTGCAGGGAGCTCAAGCTGTCGTCTGTCATCTGTGGAGGCGAACAATCCACTGGTGACACAGTTACTACAGGGCAACCTGCCTTTGGAAAAAGTGTTGCCACAGCCCAGATTGGGAGCGAAGCTTGAAATTAACAGGCTTCCTCTGCCTCTTCAAACTACCTCAGTGGGTAAAACAGCACCAGAGAGGAACATTGTCGAAATGCCGTCCAGCTCTCCAAATTCAGACACGAAGGGCTACTTGGCAGGGCCTCTTGCACCACTCCAGATAAGAAAGCGAGAAAACCACCCCAAAAAGAGAGTGGCCAGGACTGTGGGGGAACACGCTCAAGTTAAATGCGAACCAGGGAAATTGTTAGCGGAGCCAGATGTTAAAGGGGTGCCTTGTGTCATCAACTCTGGCCTGAATCAGCTAGGACACGGCCAACCATTTAAGCAAGAGTGGCTGAGCAAGCACACCATGCAGAACAGAATTGTTCACAGCCCTGAGGTCAAACAACAAAAGCGGCTGCTCCCCTCGTGTAGCTTCCAGCAGAACCTGTTTCATGTTGACAAGAATGGCGGCTTCCACCCTGACCCTGGTACCTCACACAGACAGCAGTTTTACCAAATGCCTATGGCTGCCAGGGGCCCCATTCCAACGGCGGCTCTGTTACAGGCCTCTGCCAAGGCCCCCGTGGGCTGTAATGCATTTGCCTTCAATAGGCATCTTGAACAAAAGGGACTGGTGGAGGTGGGCCTTTCTTCAGCACCTCACCAGCTAAGGTTAGCCAACATGTTATCCCCCAATATGCCCATTAAAGAAGGTGATGACGTGGGAGGGGCTGCACATGCAATGCCAAACAAAGCACTCGTGCATCCCCCGCCCCCACCACCTCCTCCCCCTCCACCCTTGGCTTTGCCCCCGCCTCCCCCACCACCACCTCCACTACCTCCACCTCTCCCTAATGTAGAAGTCCCAGCCGATCAAAAACAACCTCCAGTTACCATGGAAACCACTAAGAGACTTAGTTGGCCACAGTCCACGGGCATATGTAGCAATATAAAATCGGAACCTCTTTCTTTTGAGGAAGGTTTAGGCAGCAGCTGTGAACTGGGCATGAAACAAGTTTCCTACGACCAGAATGAGATGAAAGAACAGTTAAAAGCCTTTGCGCTAAAAAATGCAGATTTCTCTTCCTATTTGCTTTCTGAGCCACAAAAGCCTTTCACCCAATTAGCTGCTCAGAAAATGCAGGTGCAGCAACAGCAGCAGCTCTGTGGAAACTACCCAACAATACACTTTGGGAGCGCGAGCTTCAAAAGGGCAGCCTCTGCGATCGAAAAGTCCATTGGGATTTTGGGAAGTGGCTCTAACCCTGCCACGGGTCTACCCGGTCAGAACGCTCAGACGCCCGTTCAGAACTTTGCCGACAGTAGCAACGCGGATGAACTGGAACTGAAATGCTCTTGCCGGCTGAAAGCCATGATCGTGTGCAAAGGCTGTGGAGCCTTCTGCCATGACGACTGCATAGGTCCTTCAAAACTCTGTGTAGCTTGCCTGGTTGTGCGATAAGAGCTAAATGAAAGATGCAGTATCCCTTTTCAACATGGAAAAGCCAAACGGCGTCAGCAGCAACAGGATGAATAACTCAGTGGTTTATATCGTGTTAATTTATTTTACTTTGGAACAGATTTCTCTATGGGATTATTTTCTTGCATTTCTCGGAAAGGGGTGATCCCATACCAGCCGAGTGGCTCGGCAGCATGTCTTTTATATATTTAGTTGCCATTCCCAGCTCTGGAAAATTTCTGTTCATATGTATACGTGTCACTGCCCCATCGGGTTTTTAAAATTTCAGGTGTAGCTAGGAAAAGGACATTTTAAATTAATGCTAAGCAGAAATACAGACATAGAAAGAGAGTGGTGAAAGTGATTTAAGGTGGGTATGCATTCTTCTCTAGATTAACCATTACAGCCAGGGTTTTCACGGTTCACTCTTCTGGAGCTACCTTTCCCATGGCGATTAAATCATATTTGGAAAGGGGAATCTGATTTAAATGTATGATTCCTTGTATTTACTCATATCAGAAAAGATACATTAAAGGAGGTATGCCATTAATGAACTCCACTGTCCTTATTCTCTTTCCTCCCTTTTTACTCTTTTCAGAGACTGGCAGAAAATCTGCATCTGCCTTGGACGTTGTACACATGTTGTAGTGAAATGTGTCTTAGGCCTGAAATTGCAATGTGGGCCTCATGCCCAGTAATCTGGTTCGAGTCCTTTGACACCTGAGACTGTAAGATCAGTTGGCCAACAGAGAGCCACAGGCCCAGAGGATTTCAGAGCTTCACGTGTGGCTTTTAAGAGCAAGTATTAAAAAAAATTCTTTAACGTTAAAACAAGTATAATGCTGTATATGCAAACATAAATGAGTTGATTATGTAAATATTGGTCTTATATTCACTAATACAATTACTAGATATTAAAATTTGGGGGGAAATCATTGTACCCCTTTATCGGTGACACCAGTGCATTCTGACTTTCAGTTTTACAGAGATTGGCCACCTTTTTTTTAAAAAAAAAAAGTGCCATTGATGATAAAAGGGACTACAGAGGGCTGAATTTCTGACATTTTTCTGGACAATTTTTTTTTCTCATGATTCACAATCCATATAATTATATTTTACTCTGATATAGCCCTTCTTTTAAAAAATTGTTCTAGGTATTGCATGTTTTGTTTTCTTTCCCCTCAGGTGAATTTAGTACATTCTTCTTATTTGGGAGAGTGGAACTGCTTTTGAAAAAGGGATACTGCATCTTACAAATATCGTCAGTGTTTATCTAGTAAAGTCTGAGTGTTGAGTATTTGAGCTACATTCCATATACTTTGGCCACCCTCATGCCAGAGAACAGCTTTAGTTCAGGAGGCTCTGTTCCCTAAAGCAAGTTCAAAAGCACATGCACATTGTGGGAAGATGAAAGACAACACAAGTCAAGCCCATTTAACTTCAGATTACAGAGCACAAAATGCAGAGTGCCATTAACCCATCGATTGATTGAGGCTGTAGAAAATAAAAGAATGAAAAACATGGCAGGAAGGCGGCGGATATGATCTGTCCAGGGTAAGAATTTATACGTGGATCATCCTAATCAATATAAACTTTTGACATTCCCTTAAAATACGTCTTAAAAATTAACTGGAATGAACAGAATTTACATTCCTGGGGAAAAAAAAAAAACACTTGTGATTTTTAAAAAAAAATAGTAATTGACCATGGTATATGTTTTTTCCCTCCATATTTATTATCGTGATGTTGCCAAATGGTAAGTGACAGAGACATCATTTTTATTAACAAATTGCTGATAGAGAAAGATAGTTTATGATAAAAGCAAAGAAGGGCCTGCCTTCGTGGCTGCAATTTGGTGCTTCAGTATTGTCACTTCTGTTTTTTTCACATTAAAATTAACAAATGACTGAGAAAATTAGCAGTGCACTTAGCCAGCCCTTCCCAAGGACTGCAGCATAAGTTCCCGTGGATCCTTAGTTCACTATGTACCAGGTTGTATTAGGTCATCCTCATCAGTGTTTTCTCAATGATCTGCTTGGCTCTGATGTCATCTTGGTTCAGAAGATCATGCTCTAGTCTCACAGAGGGGCACCCCTAAGATATAGACACTTGCATGCCAACTCCTTCTCAATTCAGTTGCTGCACCACCAGTGTCAGATACTGTCTACACCAGCAGATTCAGAACTACCACATCAGTAACTGACATGTTGTTGAAAGAAACTCCAGTCTATGAAACCTTTGCTCTGTATATGAGCTACAATTGAAGCCCATTATCAGTTCCATCATTGTGGAATTAATGCCTGCAAGTTGCTTACTGGGAATAAAGAAAAGTGTCCTTCTGAATGTTTTGATTTTTCACATAATAGGTTGAGAGAATCAATTGTTGATTGTTCATGGATTCTATCACCCAGGTCCAAAGAGCAGAATTTTTCTATGCCTGTGCTCTTTTTTGCCCAGTTTAAAAGTTCACATGTGGTTTTTATTACTGAACAATTAGCATCTTTAGGCTAAAAAATAATGGAAAGAAAGAAGTTCAGAAGTAAAAAATGAATCAGATATTTTACAAGTGTCCATTTAAAATACACACATACACACACACAAGTCAGTATATTTGGATTTAGGTGAATAGGTTCTTAGTTTCCTGATTTCCACAGGTGTCTGCCTATGTGCAAATGGAATATGTTATTTACTACATGGTTATTGTGGTGTAATGTGCAAATTTTAGTGTGTGCATATCCTGATTATTGGACAGTATCCTATCCCTATCAGGAATAGAACTTGCACATGTGACGTAATTTTTTTTTTTTTAATCACAAAGGATGTATTTCCGTAAGTAGCACTTTTGGAGCAGGGGGAGGAGGAAAACCGCTATTCTCTAATCCCCCTCCTATATGATATGCATATGCCTGAGGTGTACAAAGACGGTTAGTTAATGGGCATGTTAATAAGAACGTTCTGATGCAAATTCATTTTCAAAATGAAAAAACTGTCCTCCCCCCAAGTGAAAATAGCAGAAATATTGGTGAACCGAGCATCATAGTTATAATATTTTCCTGCTAAGGTCCAATTCGATAAAGAAAACTTGAAAACAAACCTATGAGGTTGAGCCTCATTGCTATAAAGACTTTGTGGTGGTGTGTGTTTCTGGGATGAGCTCTAGAAGGTTTAGTTGACTTCTAGACCTTGGATAGTCTTACTCGTTCAAAATAAACATACAAAAACAAACATGCCGATGCGTATGGTGCTTCATAATTCAGTCAAGGGTAAGAATATGTGATGCTGCAGCCCAGTTTTCTTTACTAACACTCGCACAATTTCAAAAGAGGAAGTTGCTGTGGCCTCGGTTTCCTAGTTCCTCTTTGGTCTGGTGAAGTCCCAGGTTACAGAAGCTGAAGCCAAGGTTAGGGTTGCGTCGTCTCTCAAGGCCAAGAACCACGCTAGCTGCCTGGTGGGAATGAGCCCGCTGAACACGCAGAGTCAAGAGTCACTGTCCATTTGTGTTTCCAGAGAACAATGTGAAGAGTCCTAGCAAAGGAACTCATCAGACTGTCAGGGGCCTATGTAGCCAAAATGTCACTGAACATAAAAATCTTGTAGTCTTCAGTCCTCATGCTTTGTCACTGTAAAGCAAACGAAAGCATTTTTACCATAATTTAAAGGAGCTGCTTTTTTATAGCACATACTATTTCGCTTTGTACTATATTTGATAGTTGCAGAATAATTTAGATGGTAGAAAAACTTTGTTGTATTTGTACTGTTCATGAATGTTTCAAAAAAAAGTGCTTTACTTTGTTGCCATAAATTTCTTGTACTGCTGTATTTTTCCCCTAGCTTTATGGAAACCTAATCTGATTCATATTTTCAGTACAGTTTCTTTTTGTAATGTGTGTTTGTGTGTATTTTTTTTTTTTTTTTTTGGTCAGTATTCTGAATGTTTACATCTGTTTGACGTTAGCCATTTAATGCCTTTTTTTTTTAAAGGCGGTATTACTCTTACAGTGTAACAGGAAAATGTGAAATGGACCCAAACATAACATGCATGACAAACACAGATTGGGGGCGAAGACCCTCAACGTACAGACATTTTATATCAGCATACAGAAAAGTAAAACCCTCCTTCGGTCCTTTACCAAAGAATATATTATTCCCACAGGAAAAACTCAGAAAAGGTGTGTAAAATCCTCAGAAGGGGGAGCAGTTGATTCAGTAAGACTGCTACAATTTAAAACTGTTATGCTTGCTTTGATACCTGACTAAATGTGACTGAGTGCAACAAGCATTTAAACAATTTTTAGACAGTGTTTTGTTTAGAATTCAGGGATCATACATTCTTTAATGGTGCTGTTTATTTTTATTTCTTCTTTTCTACAAAGACAAAAAAGTGTTGCCTACAAAAGTGACTGCTCACAATACCATAAGTTAAATGAAATGTTTGTCTTTTCATGTTTCTCTGTTTTTCCCTTTCTCAAAGTAACGATTTGGGTTTGAATATTAAACTATTCTGGAGAAAATAAAGAAATTAAACATTAAATAATTGTCATTTTTAATTTTTTTCTGAAATGTAGTTATAGATACAAAAATATGTACTAATTAATACACTGAAAATTTTACTTAAAAAATTTATAGGGAAGACAAACCATATATATACTGTTAAATTATCTACTCTTCTTGGTATGGTGCATTGTCAACATATGATTATAATTATTGTTAAAACAGTAAAAACCAAAACAGACCTTATAATTAACCATATCTACTGTGCTTATCATTTAAAAATATATTTGAGCCCGTTTGTTTTCATAAAGATCTTGTTAATACTTTATACCAAAACACATTCAGGTCAAACAAATTGTTATCGTATTTAATTTTAACTTTCAAAATGAATTAACAAAAAGTTTTTTTTAATTGTGCTCAATTTTAAATTTCAGATTAAATATCATAGCTAGAATTATTTGAATAAAGTGCTGGGAATCATTAGAACGATATTGCCTCAGTTATATTTACATCGGTTAAAGTAATTGCATATCTTTACAATAAGGTGAATCCAAAAGCATTAAACACTTGGCTGTTAAATCTAGTTCAGCTGTTTTCATATACATGGAGAATGTTGTCTTTAGCCACCAGATGGCGAAAGAGGATGTTTACTTTTGGAAGAAAAGAAAACCTGCTTCCTCCTCCAAACACTAAATGAAGTGATTATAATGAAGTCCAACTCATCCAAGTAAGTTAATGGAAGATAGATACTTCTAAAGTTCATGAAGTTATTTTCACTGCAATGAGGGCATTCCTTTTTTGTCCAATTAAAATTTCCTATTAAAATATTTACAAAATGCTTTCTTAATTTTATTTAGCATTGCAGGATTTTTAATTGTTTGCATTACTCCTTAGACATCATCTGTTCCAAAATTTATTAGAAAAATTTGAACAGTCCAACATTTTTTAAACACGTTTATTGAAACAGCTAAATGCTTTATGTTTTAATTCACTTATTCTCATAAAATAGGTACAGTTATATAATTTTTATATCAATATTTCATTCTTAATACATTAGTGTGACCTAATTTGAGTAACAGTTGCTCTTAGGATTTAAAGTATTTATTTGTAACCATGATAGTGTTTATCTGAGGACAAGTGATTTCTTCAGTGATTCATCAGTTTCCACATAGATACTTCATTGTCGTCAAAGGTAAGTTTGTTATTTTGAAAGAACCTAGCCTGGAAAATAGTTGATAAAACATTTTTGGGTTTCTTTCTACAGGAAACAATTGAACAGAAATCCTAGAAAGTGTTTTTCACTCCACAAAATTATTTGAAGACTTTAGTTATAGGTTGCCTAAATTTAATATTTCAAGTTCAGACCACACACAATTATCCATAGTGATACACAGAAATGAGAAGCTGGGGTAGTCCAATGTCACAGCTAATCTGGAATTCTAAATTGAGCAATAAATCTAGTTCTTTTCCTTAACAGAAACTATATTAAAGTTGCCAGTGTAATTAATTACCATACACTCTTACTAATTGGAGGAAGGTCACTAGATTTGCAAAGTAAGGGCTTTTTTTTTTTTTTTTTGGCTTTTTATTTAAAAGAAACAGTTTTATTTTGTTTTTCAGCTATATTAAATAATATCTCATCATGATAATAGACTATAAGTAAAGCCGACATCGAAAATATTTAGCAATCCTGCAAAGCATCAGCCGATCCAAACATGCCAGACAAATCAAAAGAGATGGCTCTAATACAACAAACCCATGAAAATTGGCCAAATATCCATTCTGTGAACAAATGAGCTCGTGAATCTGCTTTTATTAATAGTTTGATTTATACTTAGTATATCCATCACAGTTATGGGGAAGTTTGTTTCTGAGGTACCTTTCTTAAGCTAAAATTTCCATCTACAATTTTATTTAAATTATTTTGTTAAGGAAATTGTTTAGAGGTGGCTCAAATGTAAGCTTTAACCCAAACAATAAAATATCCAAGAGTTTTCCCTATTTGCTTTTTCCAAGTACTCTGTTCAGTGGACAGTCCCCACAAATAGCAATTTGACCAAAGGATTGGGGCACCAGGTGCTTCAACAGAGGATCCTGGATACTTGAGTCACATAAGATTCATCTTATTTTCTGTGGGCTTATCAGAAAGTCTTTTTTATTTTATCATAAACTTGTAAATGGAAACTAGGTTTTACCTTCGATTCAGACTTTTCTCTCTAGTCTCAAATTATGGTTTTATTTCAGGAAAATGCTATGTTCCAAATCCTTATTATTCAATGATGGGGAACATGGGGGGATTTCAGAGGAGTGCAGAAATCTGGTTCTGTTTTCCTTGATTCATTAGGTTTTCAGTATCCAATTCAAGGATGCTGTAACATCTTCCAGATATAGGAAAATGTGGTTGGCCTCAATGGCTATAACCACATGAGCTTATCTTGGATGTTCTCATCCTATATAGAAGTGGCAACATTTGTGCATGTCTATTTATATAGAAATAAAAACCATGATTTCTTATTGTAATATAAAATTCATTATCCAACCGGTTTAAATTTCAAAATGAGAAATCAAAAGTATATGAGTGGAGACAGTTCTCCTTAATGGCTTCTAAGCAGAAGTCACTGAAACATTATTTTGTACCTTTTCTTCCTTTGACATGTATGCTCAATGTAGTTTTGGGGGTTTTTTTGTTCGTTTTTTTCTTTTAGTACTACATGTTTTTTTTGTTTGTTTTTTTTTTGTTTTTGTAAAATAATCTTTATCCTTCCAGGGGGAAAAAGCTATGGGAAAAGAGTTGGCATCTTAAAAAGAAACATTCAAAAGTTAAAAAGACATTTTTTTTTAACTACATTTAGAGTAGGAATCTATGGAGCTTAGAAAAATTCTTTCATAGAATCTTTTCTGTCCAAAAAGCATTGCTTGGCAAAAACTGGGAAATATCAAAGACACCACACTCCGCAATCTCAGTTTTCTAATTTTGATTCTCTCAGTAATAAATAAATCATTTCTAAGTCTTTAGCCTTCATGACCTGAATATGAAGGAGATTTTGTAAATTCCCTTCATATAAACTTTTAGAGATTTAACTTTATACTACACTAACTATGGCATTTTTCCAGAGCTGTTCCCAAAAGACAGATTGTCTTTAGTAGAAAATAATAGATAAAACTTGTGAAATGCTATGGAATGTATAATACAAAGCTATGGAATGTATAATACAGAGAATTTCATAAGTAGTATCATGTTTATCCCTAGAAAAATCCTATTAGGCACTGTTACTATGTCTGTGTTATAAATGAGGAAACTGAGGCTTAGAGTGTTGAAAGAAAAAAAACATATGCTAAGATCTGGAATATGAAAGGTTTTTCAGAGACCAAAGCCCATCCTCTTATTTGCTGCAAGACACAATGGCTGCTATACAGACTGCTAGGTGCTGGGGCTTCAAAAAAAAATCAGAGGGTCTCAAACCTTGAAAAAAAATTATAGGACAATGGGAAAGATGACCAAACAATTTTAATGTGACAAGAGTGTAACCAAGACATGTACAAGGTGCAGTGGGGCTGAGAACAACCAAGTGAATGAAACCCTTTAGGATTGCCGCTGAATGAGAATGAAGCCTCCAGAGATGCATTCTTTGGTCACACCTGGTATAGTTTCAGGGCAGTCTCACTGGAAGGAGGGCATGCTCCTCCTTTTAAACATCTCCATCACTTCCCTTGAACAGGGCTCATCAATAAAGACAGTTTTTCCTGATAATGTTCACTGCAAGTTGTATAACCCTTACACATTTTAGAGATTTATCCCCAGGCTCTTCTTACATGAAACTAAGAATTTGTTTAGATGTTGGTAGGGTTGATAATTTGATTTTGTAAAAGTTAACATATTGAAACAATGTGATACCCCATGTCCTTGGTGGTCATTGAGTTTTTAATACTTTTAAAAAATCAATGTAATGCATATTCCTAAATTAAAAAGTCATATTACAGAGACTATAGCCAAAAAATAGTAGTGTCCTGAAATAAATTGCAATGTAGGCTATTTTTCTTTCTTTTTTTTTTTTTTAAGGTGGAAACATTGCTTCCGACTATTCATGTTATTCAATAGGATTCAGATGAAAAAAAGAGCGAAGGCTGCTTCTCCAAGCTACAGGTCTGGACTGAAGTAAGAGAGCTCACAGTGCCTTGTCCAGTACTTCTGAGAAATAAAAAGCTTCCCACTTTGCTGGTGATCATAAGAGGGAAACATTTTGATCATTGGGGAAAATGAAAAAGCATAGAAGAGACATCTAACAGATAACATCAGGGTATATAATACCAGAGACAAACTTCACCTGTGTCAATATTTTTTTTCAAGCAAACATTCATTGAGTGGTTAAGTGAATCCTACTGCTTCATTTTTTCCCACCTGGGAACTGGGAACATGAATAATAACTGTTACCGTACACAGAAGCCCATTCTGTAGCACTTTGTGGCCTCTACCTTTCTCCTGTTTATTATGCCACAGCTACATGAGCATGACTTTGGGTTATGCAAATTCCTGCTCAGTGAGCATCTTCCCTATAGGACACAGCCATATTTTATTACCTCTTATAAATATTTTTCTTAAAGCCATCTACGCTAATATTTTCAGTATTTTAATAAGTAATTATTTGAATATATGTTAAAGTAATTATAAATTGTGTGAGGAATCATATTTTGCCATTTCCAAAAAGAGGTGCTTTAACTTTCCTTTCTGCTTGTGGGGAGTGTGTCATCTAACTGACAATAAACAGAGCTTACTCTTTGACTCTCAATACTTGTAAGGGGATTCTAACAACTGGGGCACTTTTGGTGCCAAGATTCATCCAATATTCAATGAGCAAACATTTTTTTTGACCACCACTTCTATGCTAGGTGTTGAATTATAGGGGATACAACATTTTACTGCTGACTTGATTCTTCAAGAAAAATAAAGTTACCAAACATTTCTTTAGTGCGTTCTGCTTTGGAATTGTACCATGAAACATTGTCATAAGACAGAAGGAATTTTCTCAGAAAATACC